CTTGCTTAGATGCATGCTTGTTCCAGGTCAGTATTTCAAAGTATTAAAGTGACATTAAAGTCAAAAATTCCGATCTTCCTCTTCTTTCCTGGTGTTTTCATCTGTCCCTCCAGCAGTGCGGCGGCTCTCCGATCCAGCGCTGACTGCTCTCAAGTCCATAGACTTACCTTGCGTCTCTGCTCGTCTCCCGGCCAAGAATCCGAACTGCGCATGCGCCCGCCCCAAGATCCTTTGCGGCTGCACGATCAGTTCCTGATTCTCGGAGCGGGAGCGCGCAGCGATAACTAGGTAAGTTTAAACCTCTGTTAAAGCGGGTTTTTTTTTTTTTTTTTTTTTTACTTTTTGCCTATATCTACTGCTTGCTAGCAGTAGATATAGGCAAAAAAAACAGAGGGTTTAGAACCCCTTTAAGGCCAAAGACGGCCAGAAAATTAGTTGGCAATGATAGAACTAACATTTGTCTCTATATAGGGTTCCTTTGAAGCACATATCATCTAACAAAATCTTGGTGAGCTTTGTGTGTTTCTTCCAGACCTATGTAGTAATCCAGTGTGAAACAATCTCCTGTAGCCTGTAGTGGGTGGAGCCTGCTGGGTCCCTCCTACAGCTCTGTTTTTTGCACAGGCTACGTGCCGCACAGCGATTATCATGGCTATTTATACAAGGTACTATCTGAGTTTACAAAAGCATTTGCTGCACACAAAGTGAATTAATATCCTTTGTGGCTATTGAGGAATAAATAAAGTTTTTGTGCTTTGAGTTCAGCTTTAACACATACAGTGCATGGCCCCCAGAACAACATGATTCACACCCCTGTAGTCATAGGTCAAAATAAAATTATTTTCAAAATAATAGAAAAAAATTACATAATTCAGGGGATGAAGTGGTACATGACACAGTCAATGAGGAAAGGATAAATGGATGTAACATGTGGACCGCCACTCGGGCAGACAAGGATTTTTATTTTCACAAGAATACATATGTCACAGTGAATGTTCTTTCTGCTTCCTGAGTGACCGGGCCCATTCACATCATCTCCAGATTGTTTCTGGACCCAAAATGCATCCTAATGTATCCCTATGCTATTTCTTGCCTCTGTTCACACCACAGCAGTCCGTTCCAGACCAGACAAAATGAGACGTGAAGATTGGAATGCACAGGAACTACGGGCAGGTTCACACCTTTTTCCTGACTAGATCTGGTCTAAAAAATGGTGTGAACCTGCCCATGGCTGGCAGGTTTGGTGGTTCTGCACTGCTGCATGACTTTACATTTTCAGTGACTCACGTGGAAGGCCTGCATTTATTGGAAGGGAAGTGAATCCATAAATAATTGTGTGCTGCCCTTAAACAAGTACCTACTGCCTATTCTTTGTAGGACTTTGGTCTGAGGCATGGCAAGAGTCTTTGTTTTTCTTATCTGGCCTGCTTTCACATTAGCAGATGTCATATGCCTATCTGTCTCATGAATTGTGTTCTTGGGTTGTTGAAAGATGTTTTTCAGTATACCACAACTTCACATCCAGTACATTAGGGCTGAAAAAAAGTATAGCATGTCGTGCACAGAGCCTTTCCTGATCACAGCAGTACAGACCAGCCAGACATCACCACTGTGACATCTGGAAAAAACTGCAATTATCAGACCCCATGTCTGTCTATGGGTCTGTCAGACCCAGTGGAGTGGAAATCCTTCTATCCCCGCAATGCACTTTTCACGTTCTGCCTTCGCCTTCCTCTCTATCACTCTCCTCTTTTGAAACCCACTGCATTCGCCTATTCTCTCCAATTTCACTGAGGATTGCTGTTATATACCGGCCACCTGGACCAGTATCTCGCTTTCTGGATGACTTCTCTGCCTGGCTACCCTACTTTCTCCCCTGAGCCGCCACCTCGCTGATAACAACCTTCTCGATCCCTTACAGTCCGGCTTTCACCCCTACACTCCACTGAAACCGCCCTCCTGAAACTCACTAATGACCTACTAACAGCTAAAAACAATGGCCACTACTCCCTACTCTTGCTATTAGACCTTTCTGCTGCTTTTGACACTGTTGACCACCTGCTCCTCCTCAAAAAACTACTCGCTTGGCCTACAAGACTCTGCTCTCTCTTGGTTCTCCTCCTACCTATCTAAGCGCTCCTTTAGTGTCACCTACAAATCTACATCCCCCCTCTTCCTCTTTCTGTAGGGGTCCCCCAAGGCTCTGTCCTTGGACCCCTTCTATTCTCTATCTACACCTCCCCCCTTGGTCAGTTAATGACCTCAAATGGCTTCCAATACCATCTATCCTGATGACACTCAAATCTATCTTTCTACTCCACAACTCACCCCCTCAGTGTCCTTGCGTGTCACTAATCTACTAAATTACATATCCGTCTGGATGTCGCAACACTTCTTAAAACTCAACCTTTCAAAAACTGAGCTCATGATATTTCCTCCCGCCCATGCACCTTCCCCAACTTTTCCCTTGAGATTGTTAACACAACTATCCATCCCTCCCCCATGCCAAGATCCTAGGTGTCATCCTTGACTCAGACCTCAACCTTTCTTCCCCACATCCAATCACTATCCAAATCCTGCCGCCTTCACCTTCGTAACATCTCCAAAATACGCCCCTTCCTCACCAATGAAACTGCAAAATTACTCATCCACTCCCTTGTTATCTCTCGTCTTGCCCAAAGGATAAAGTTCAAAATATTAACAACCACTTACAAAGCCATCCACAACTCTGCCCCCGGCTATATCTCGAAACTTGTCTTAAAGTACCACCCTAACCGTCCCCTACGCTCTTCAAATGACCTTCTGCTTTCCAGCTCACTAGAGCCTCTCCCATCCTATGGAACTCTCTACCCCAACCAGTCTGTCTATCTCCCACTCTGACTGCCTTTAGGCGATCACTTAAGACTCATCTCTTCAAGGAAGCCTATCCCACCTCAAACTGACCACTGAACAATCACTTTCTCAAACAATTCATCTCCACACAGCTACCTTCTCTTGTATCACTTCCTCCTCCCTTTTAGACTGTAAGCCCTCAGGGGCAGGGAACTCCTTACCATCTTGTCTTGAATTGTATTGTGATTGTAATGTCTTCCTTATATTGTAAAGTGCTGCGCAAACTGTTGGCGCTATATAAATCCTGTATAATAATAATAATATGGGGGATCCAGCACGATCAGGTCTGGTGAAGCGGATCTCTGATTCATTTGTTTTTCCATATCTGCCCAGAGTCAGGAGTAACCGGGTGGAAACGGATGCCCATCGGTTTACACACGGCTGTACATAGATTTACATTATGCATCCAATAAGGTCCACCTGAAAAACTGACGTGTCGATCCGATCAGACCACCCGTCTGAAAGGGGCTTTAAACTTTTTCACCTTCCTTCTATATGCAAGACAATGCTACTTTTGTGAATAAAGCATTTGCTACTGGTAGCATGCGCTAATCTGCCCTCTGTGGGTTATTGCACACCAATTGAGGGGGGGGGATTTATCAAAATTGGAGCAGCTGTGCATGACAACCAATCAGCTTCCCTCTTCAGTTTGTTCAGTTAAGATTTGAAAATGAAAGAGAGAAGCTGATTGTTTGCCAATTGCTCCAGATTTTGTCTGCTCAAGTTTTGATAAATTCCCCTCATAGTATGTCTCTTCTGCAATAAAAATTGCTGTCTGGTCACTCCCACTCTAAGTACAAAATTCCTTCTCAGAAGTCATTTCAAACCTTGGAAACCAAATGTAAATCACGAATGGAATCTGAAAGTTTGAATTTAGTTGCCATGAGTCAATACAAACACGTCTTACTTCGTACCATTGTATAAATGAGACCCTTTGTGTGGTGTGGCACTTACAAGGCAGATAACAATCTTGCCTTTCAACCTGAACACCAAAATGATTGTTTTATAAGAGCCCAGGCTTGGATCTGACTGGAATAGTTGGGCCACAGTAATGGGTGGATAGGCCACCATAAACACTGGCTGATAGAAGTTATTTTTAGCTGGATATAAATTTATATTGAAGTTGATTTGCTAGCATAATGCATAGTTTGTTTTTTTCGTACTCCTTAAAGCCCATTTCCACCTTTTGCAGACGTATTTCTTAAAAAACATATGCCAGCAATGTACACAGAGTATACTGTACATGAAGCAGGCACCTGCAGTTGCTGTATATGAACACAGAAACTTAAATTTTTTTGGTTAGCTTCCCTCTTCATATCCTCATGGAAATGGCCGCCTCTGTGCTCTGCAAGCAATGTGTGTATATTAAAACTGAGCTCTCCACACTAAAATCACTATCTGGTTCTAATTGATGTCTGTATCCCCAAATCCCATGCCTTGTGTGATTTCCTTTCATTTCCTGCCCTGGAGACGCAATATTATTATTATTATTATTATTATTATTATTATTATACAGGAAGGAAGACATTACAATACAATTCAAGACAAGATGGTAAGGAGGGCCCTGCCCCTGAGGGCTTACAATCTAAAAATAGAATGTGAGTGGAAATCTCTCCAAGTATGGGGACTGGAGTCTCTAATAGAAGTTTTCCCTCCTCTCTGGTAGCAACTGCTACATTTTAGTTTACGCTCACCTTCTGTTTTGGTGGCAATGGTTTCAAGAACAGACAATTGGTACTTCATTGCAGTAAAACCTAACGGAAGCTATTCTACTATCCCACACTATCCAAAACCAGAAAAATGCAGGCCCAATGCAGCAACAAGTAAAGAAACATCGGGCCACGGTTAGCTTGCTCTAGTAGTTAGTTTGCTCTGGTAGTTAGCTAGTTACACGCCCTGTTTTATAGGCCCGTTTGTACTTTGAACGGGTTGTGAGTAATAGGGAGTGCAGCTTGTCCAGGCATCCTAGAAACCAACGTCAAATCATCGAGCTTGCATTCTTTCCTTGGATATAAAGCAGCAGTGTAATGTGTTGAAAGGGCAGTGGTATCTCTGAATTCTCTTTGTACATGCACAGAAATTTGACACAGCTGAATTTTTCTTTGTAGGTAGAACATCTACCCTTGGGGAAAGCAATGTATCCCAACCATCCAGGTATGTAACTGTTCATTCTTTCTTCTCAAATTTAATCAGACTTAGAATTAGGATAAAACTAGCTCAGTCTCATGATAAAACCCAATGTTTATGGAAGTATTGACTCTGTGGAGTTCTTGGTCTTTTCCACAATGGCTGGAAGCTACAGATGGCTATAACTGTCACAGCCTGTGTAGATCAGGGGTGGGCAACCCCGGCCCTCCAGCTGTTGATGGCATTGCAAGACTGACCGTTACAGGCATGATTTCCAGAAGCATTTGGGGATTTGTAGTTAAAGCACAGCTGGAGGGCCGGTGCCCACACTTGGTGTAGATATATGTATGAAAGGGATATTGTAGAAGGGTAAAGTCTGACCTCCCAAGTGCATACCTGTTGCAGGCCAGCAACTTGCTATGTAGCAAACCCAGGATCGGCAGACATGTCCCCTTCCCCTGCAATTTTTTCAATAGCAGCTTCCTTATTTCTATCTGTCCAAAGTACATTTTTATGACAATAGGGTAGGCCTGACTGTAGTTGAATCTCTATATGTCTTGTGATTTTATGACGGCAATGACCAACAACATAGTATATAATAAGGTAACTATTTTTTTCATGGCAATTTTAACATTCAACTGTTGTTTATCCATGTAGGTCAAAGCGACAGGTTCATTTTAAAGCTGGTCCCTACAGTATTAAATATGTATGTCAAGCCCAAAACTTTTTTTTTCTTAAGTTTGTATAGAGTAGGGAAGGATTACACCTCCTGTCAGGTTTTTACTGCTATCCAGGGCTCTTTTAAAAAGATTCACCCTCCCATCCTGTCCTGACAACAGTTTCACCAGACAGGAAGTGAGGGAAAATCTGCAACAGGAACACAAATGGAAATGAAAATCTGACAGGGATTCTAGTCTTCCGTACTCTACTAAAAAAAACATTAGTGTTGCTGTTGGAGAGTTACCCTCACTTCCTGTCTGGTTATAGCTGTCTGTGTCCCCACTAGGTAGATACACCTTCTCTGTCTGTCCTGGTGACCACTGTCACTAAAACAAAGTGATTAGAAATCCAACATATTAGAGTAGTTACCAGTGAGAGAAAATCTTCTGATGGTGACACCTGTTCTGGTGACAGTTGTCCATGAAGGGATTTCCCTCATTTATAGAGATTTCCTCTCACTTCCTATTTAATCTTCAGGACAGTAAGTGAAGGTAAATCTCCCCACCCTAAACTGATGGGTTTTAACCCTTACCTACTCTAGCTAAAGGTGGCCATACTCTATTAGATTAAGCCTGCAAGCTGAATGAAAACAAATTGAACAGATTCCCGCTGGTCTATTGTATTTTAACAGTGCCGCTATCAGAATACCTGAATAGGGACTGCAGCCAATTGACTGCAGTCGTTGTTTGGCCGATTTTTCTGAACGAAGGATGTCGGGTGAAAAGCTGGCAGTAGGGCCACCCGCTGAGTGCATTTTGAACAGCTCATCAAGAACCAGCAGAAATTTGCTCTGTGCACGGCGGGCTGTAAACTAAAAAAAATAATAATTTAGTAGCGCCTGTAACAAATAGACTGGAACAAAAAAGAGGATACTTGCTGTACTCCTTACCGGGATTCCCATGTGGATATACAGACAGGTGCTTGAAATGACTGCGGATGGTGCCGCCCCTCTTAGATATTTGAAGAAAGTCACCGGCACACCAAATCAATGACTGTATCAGGTGTTCATTTATTGACGTATGCTGTCTCTTGGTTGCAAGTGCTTTCGGGGCCACGCAGGGTCCCCCTCATCTCTGAGCCTGATAAAGGGGACCCTGCTTGCAACTGAGAGACAGCATGCATGAATAAATGAACACTTGATGCAGTCATTGATTTGCTGTGCTGGTGACGTTCTTCAAATATGTAGAAAAATAGACTGTGACGAGATTCCACGTAGACCTTTTCAGTCACAAGCAATGTAGCTTAGGACAACACATCGTGGACTTTGAATAGCTAGCTGACGTATGAACAGAGATACCGGGCACAATGATTTCTAATCAATAAAATCCTTTGTAATATATTGCAATACTTTTATTTATAATAGCAAAATGGCACAGTGGGATATTAATGTATTTTATTATAGGGACCACATAAAAGAACTGGACTACGTTGTTCATTCTGTAACATGAGTGGTAGTATTGTAGACGTTTCTGAAAGCGTGTACAAATCACATTTATCTTTTATGAGTAATCGGCGTGAGAAATCCAGTGATTTTGACGTCTCATTTAAGTCCAGACCTTCTATTTAATGTAAACCTGTGGAGATCTCGGGATATAAATTTAAGAGCTATGGATAATAGCTGGCAGCATTTCCTATGGTTCTGGCCCTTTCCAGGGTCTTTCCCAAAGTTAATTTTTGTATTTCCATGGAGACAGCTGATGGACCGGAGGTTGCTGATGAGTCATTCAGCAATGACTCTACTGCCAGAAAGCGGAGAAATCTTGGGGTACTACGCACTATGACTTGCAGCTCTTACGTTCTGTCCTGTGAGATATCCACAGGTTTACTTTAATTAAAAACTGCTGAAAAAAATGTTGCTTGCCATTGCTGACCTGCTTTGAAAACTGCTAGTTCCCTATTGGTCTTGCTGACCCTTAGACTTTAGTACTTTTAAGTTCTTGATCCTGAGCACTTATGCAGACGGTGAAGTCAGAACTTCCTCTTTGCATACTTGTACTTGGTCATTAACTTACAATGGGCCTTTATTTTCCCCTTATAAAGACATATGTATATATATTTTTTTCTTGTTCTTTGGCTTGGCAGAGCTCCAGTAAAGAAAAAGAAATACTGATCGATTACTTCTTGGGTGCCCCTGCGTTGTGTTTACCTTGGATAAAGGTGCAGCACACTGCTTTTTTTTAAGGATATGAGACCTAGTCCAGTATAGCAGTTAGATATATAATTAGCTGGACATAAAAATACCCTCCGCAGCTTGGCATACCAGTTGTGTCTCACTAATGTTGTAACCTTATACCAACTTTGTGAACCACATTGTAATCCATCCTATATGGATGTAAAATCTCTTTGCTTGTGTCTCTCTTTCAACAGGACAACCTGGTTACCCACCAAACCCAGGATATCCTCCTGGCACCAATCCTGCATACCCTCCTGGTACAGTGCCCCCTGCCTACCCCCCTGGACAACCTGGTTATCCCCCAGTTCAGCCTGTCTATCCCCCTGGGCAGGCTGTCTATCCTCCAGGACATGTACCACATCCTGGCCATCAGCCTGGCTACCCTCCACAAGTTGGACCTTACCCACCAGGAATGCCAGGGTACCCAGTGAACCCCATGATGCCTGGATACCCCATGGATAAGAAGATGAGGAAGAAAATGAAGAAGGCAAACAAAGCAAATAAGCATGCATATGGAAGGGTGAGTGTGGGCACAGTGCGTGATGGGTACTTCAAATCCTAGATACATTTTGGCATATGCTTTCATTTTAAAGGTAAAGCTAATTGAGGGTTATAATTGCTTGTAGCTGAGAAGCATGATGTTTGCTTCTGGAGCTGACCATTCTAATTATATACACCGATTAGCCATAACATTATGACCACTGAGAGGTGAAGTGAATAACATTGATTAGCTCGTTACAATAGAACCTGGAAGTGGGTGGGATATATTGGGCAGCAAGTGAACATTTTGTCCTTGAAGTTGATTTGTTGAAAGTAGGAAAAAATGGGCAAATGTAAGAATTTGAGCCAAATTTTGATGGGTAGCTGACTTAGAGCAACTCCAAACTCTTGTGGGATGGTCCCGGACTGCAGTAGTCTGTATGTACCAAAGGTTGTCCAAGGAAGGAAAAATGGTGAACCGGCAACAGGGTAATGGGCAGCCTAAGCTAAGAAACACAAGTAAGTGGGACAATACCCATGCCATTGGTGTGATTTTTAAAGGAGAACTATGAGGTGAGTGCTTTTCACTCCCCTCATAGTTCTAGCCGACCTGTGACAATGAGACTGCCACAGGTCGGCTCAGTAGATCGGGAGGTGAGCGAACACATACCGGTGTTCGCTCACTTCTCGATCCTGTCACGGCAGAGGGAGGGGCTGGATTCCCCGCTCCGATCCACCAGCGCTGACTGGCGGAACGGACGGGGGAGGGGCGGGTACAGATGGCTCTGCCTCTAGATAGGCAGAGCCAGCTGTCACTCACGCAGCTGGGCGGATCTCGATATCGATGTCGGGATCCACTCCGGCTGCGGCGTCTCAGTATTCAGCGAGCTGTAGTTCGCGGTATACTGAGCTTAGGGTGACGGGAGGACGCTAGATTGTGTCCTCCCCTTACCCTAAGGAGAACTATGGGGAAAAGCCCTGACCCCATAGTTCTCCTTTAACATTTGATTATGGGATGGACCGAAGTGATGTAATGTTTATGTACTCGTGTAGATACACTGGATATAGTCGGTATATTACCATATACTAAGTTCTACATCAATATTTTGCATTGTTAGTCCATATATTCACATATCTTATATACCCATTAATATGAAAGAATGTTTGTGCAAACAAGTTCTACTCCCAAGTGAATCTTTTCCTGCACATTAAACAAGAATGCTTTTTCCTGAATTGGTATCATATTCACGGTTAGTATTTTGTTTGTTCAAATAAGAAACAATAATTTTCCATCCTGCTCCATCAATTTTTACCACAATAACCATTAGTAAATCAAGTGAATCCAAAATGATTGTTTTTAACTGAATTCTAACCGTGTATAGCCAGCTATAGATTGTATATTTGATAGTAACCCAAACAAATATAAAATGGTTTGAAAAAGAATAAACTTTGAAGAAACAAATGACTATTTTATAAAAGCAGAAATGCAATTGTATCAAATGGAAGAATCAAAAGCTCTCCACCTAGAGGTGATGGAGGGTAGCTGTAACCAACATTTTGCCTTTCACTTAGGAAACGACTAACACAATGGGGTTTATTTACTAAAGGGATAGAGGATGTTCACTTTGCAAGGTGTATTCTGGTAAATAAAGTTAATCTATGTTTAATCTGAGTACTCAAAGTTGTGCGGGAAAAAAAGAAAAATTCAGTTTTGTTTTTTTTCTCCTTTCATTGGGTATTCAAAGTGAACACAGATCCACCTTGTTTACTAACTGTCACGTACCTCGAATGGGAGCCTGAGAAGACCAGGGCAGCCTCTCTTGCTGCTCCAGTCCAAGCACCCTTGGGTAGTGGGACAGATAGTTCCAGTGGGTAAGGATGCCACTGATGTCACTGGAACTTGTGAGCACAGCCGTCTCAGGGCTGGAGAGGCAGGTTACTGGCAGGAATAGTCCAGCAACAAGCCATGGTCAGCAATAATTGGGCGACATGGTACCAACACGGCAAACAAAGCCCGTCGGGGGCCAGACCAGGTTAGCAACTTGCAGCCAGCGTGGTCTCAAATTGGCAGACAGTAATCAAAGTCAGGGGAACAAGCCGGTTTTAAACTAAGGAGAGCCACGGAAGATCGGAATCAGGGTACAGCTGAGGATCTCTCAGCACTGGAGACCTGCAGGGCTTTCTTAAATTGCCTGTTTGGTGCCACTATTGCATTGAACGTGCATGCATGCATGCCCTTGCACATGCCGCAAGACACAGACATGCCGGTGCACAGATGCATGGCCATGCACTATTCAATTATCTCGCACTGGAATGCTATGCAGGTTGGTTTAATCTTCCATACCCTAACATTCACATTGCTAGGTGAGCAGACTCTACCCCTTTAGTAAAGCCCCCCTTCTGTCTTTTGAAGTTCAATTCATCCTCTTATAATATCTGGTGTGGAGCATGCAAGTGGTTTTTCCTTTTAGGTTGTTGAGCTCCAAAGCTATCTTCACATCTCGGCTATGGGGCTGTGCATAACTGTAAATAAGCTTATTTTTGGGGGGAGAGCAAACATGTCTCTTTTTAAGAGAGTCAAGGTAAGAGGGGGAAAAACTAGCCAAGGAGAGGAAGGAGACTGTTGGGGATAATAAGGAATGAAGAGGGTTAAATAAGAGAGACTGGCCATTCATGTCACAAACTAATTGTACAATTTTCTATAGATTTAACAAAACTATGTAGTGGGAGGGCCTACCTTAGGAGACCATTTTCTATCTACTCAGAGAGGCCATTTAATTACATTTTTGGTAGATTAAAAGGACATTGCACAATCAGATTGTAACATGTATGGTCAACTTAATATATAGGCAAGCACCTTGTGTGTCTAACTGAAAAAAGGGTTCTGGTGTTTACACTTGCAGGGGTGTACCCAGTGGGCAAAGACTGTTGGGTATGTGATATAGGTACCCCTAAGGTCCACAATGATCATTTGCTTGTTTCTCCATCAATTATCTATAGAATGTGTAGTCTTATTCAATGAGGGGAATTTATGAAAACTGGAGCAGACAAAATCTGGAGCAGTTGCCCATGGCAACCAATCAAACTTCTCTGTTCAGTTTGTTCCCTTAAGATCTGAAAATGAAAGGGAGAGCTTATTGGTTGCCATGCAGAGTTGCTCCACATTTTGTCTGCTCCAGTTTTGATAGGTTCCCCTCAATGTGTTTTTTACAAATTACACGCGTGCTTATACGCAGCAGCCTGTACTTCTCTATGTGAGTACACGGCCGTACACTCACCCGAACTACACGTCCGTGCGGGTGTCCATACTCGTACGCTAACGGGATGGATCCGTACAGCCTGCCAGATGTGACAACGCCGACCCCAACCAACGACAACCCCCTCCCGCCGTTACACCAAGTTAATCAATTCAATCTATTTACATCTTTTTTTTTTTCCCCTAGAGGTTGGTTTTGATTTAAGCTGTGGCCTGCCTGCACAGAACCTATGCCTTCTGACTTATTATACACAGATTGTAAACCTCGTGGTGGAGTAGTTGGTATCAATTAAGGTTTATCAGATACTCACTTGTTCTCTGCACAGAGTTGGGGCCTGTTCACACCACAGCGTTGTCATTGATTCATTCATTCCTTGCCATTCATCCTCAATGGCATCCCAATGCACCTCACAACGTGCATGTGTTGCAGTTCAATGTGTGGTACTGTAATAATGTGCGTTTCTGTGTAGTGATAAATAATAGTGCAAGCATGAATTCACCCCATGACAACACACGTTATTGCAGCGCCGCACAATGCGTGGCACTGCAACCCAAACCTGCTGGCAACGCAGGGCACCTAGCATTCAGTACCATACAATACAGTGTGCTAAACTCACAGATCCTATGGTGTGAATGGACCCTTGAAGAATGTCAGGACTGTGTCATTTGTACATGAGCTTATACTAATTTTGTTTTGTTTTTTCTTCCAGAGATCGTCATCCTCTTCCTCCAGCAGTGATTAGAATAAAAAAATTCTGCTTGTTAAAGAAGCCAAAGAATATTTTCCTGCAATAAGTAGTAGCATGCACAGTTTATGTATTTTTAAGCTGAAGAGCCGCATGCTGCACTTATCTCTGTTATCATCACAGATGAATGTAATCATTCCTGCAGTGTTCTATAGTAGTTACACTGCAATAACAACACTATGCATTCCTTGTTTTCTGCACATTACTGTGGTGTAAGTGCAACTTATTCCCTAATCTGCTTCCAATAATAAAGTTTTAATTTACTCTGCGGCGAGTTTTCTGTACATAATGAATACACCTTTTATATCATATATTTGATTATAGCTGACATTTCATTCTCCGTTGAAGCTTGACTCCAGCCATTTTTTTCTACTTTGAATGGGGGGAGATTTATTTCTGTCTCACAAAATGAAAGGGGGTGCGCGAGTGTTACTGGGACAGGAAGGCAGAGACCATATCCCACTCACTGTGCCTTGGCTGCTTTCCTTCCCATTGGGGACAATGAGCCCTAACCTGGGTTCATTCATGAATAATTAGTAAGAGCCAGAGCCACTGGAAGGGGGTGCGTGGGTGTTACTGGGACAGGAGGGCAGAAACCGTATCCCACGCACTCTGCCCTGGTTGCTTTACCTTCCCATTGTGTACATTGAGTCCTAACCTGGGTACAATAATGCAGACCTTTACACTAAAAAATCAAATTGTACCAATGCATCCCTCTATGCATGATGATTAATAATAACATAGACATGTCAGGTGTAAAATGCTGTGATTTTGAAATACTTACACTTGCAGGGCATTCACTTCCTGCTTTGAAAGGGAAAAAATTACTTCAATTTGGCAAAGCAATGCACACTGGGATTGCCTTGTTATCAGTAGAGCATTGCTGGGAAATCTCATATGAGATCTCAGGGAAAGGCATTGTCCTCCCCTGAGATGATGTGCATGGTCACATGTCTAGTCACGTGTGCCAGAAATCCAGGGAGTAATAGGAGAGCTAGTAAACATGGCCACTGTGAGAAGACTGGGGAAGAAAAGAGAAATAAGGTATGCAAATAATACAAAGCCGGCCTTTATCTAGAAGTATCTGTTTGTAGATTGTTAGTTTACTGTGTCACTAGAATGGTGCAAGAAGCTTTATCTGAAATTCTAACTACAGTAGTCCTGGAGAATGCCTGCTCGTTGACCAAAAAAATACTAATAAACATATTTTTGTTTTTATCTAGGGGGGGGGGGACATATGTAAAATCTGAATTTTTGCATATTGTATTTTTTTGCACAACATTACAAAAATACACACACACAAAAAAAATCACTCGCTGTACTTTGTACGATAGGACCTTGTCTCAGCACTGTTTAACCCCTACTTTAGCTATGCACAATTTTCACAAGGTGGCTTCCTTATACTTTGTGCTTGTTAAAAGCCAATTATACCACGCTGGAAGCTTTTACATGGTGGAGCAGCCAAATGTCTATCAATACTGCCTCCCCTTTAGCAGGGTAAAGTGAAAGGCTGTATAATTCTCATTGTATAGAGGGTAGAAGAACCAGTTTCCTGTTTGCTTGTCAACTGAAAGGCCCTTTTTTTTTCTTTAAAAACGAATTAATAATGTCATACAGCTCTGAGGCATGGCGTGAAAATGGTGTTCACTTTCACAATCTGGGTGAGAACATCTCATTATAAAGTGTAATCTCACTAGGATAATGTTATGCAAATTGGACAAATGGTTGAAAATAAAGTTCTGGCTTTTCTGATGAAGACGCACTGAAGAACTCCAACTTAACAATTTCAATGCTTTTAAAGCAGACCTGTAGCCCCTTTGACAAAATCACATCAGCATACAGCTCTGCGTGCTGATATGAAATCATCTTACATTCATTAGCTATACAAACATATTTTACTTTCAATTTTTTTTCCACTTCCTGGTCCACTTTGGCACAAATGATGTAATGTGCCCAAGTGTTGAATCCTGGGAGGGTTACATCAGCAGAGCATTGCTAGGGAATCTCATATGAGATCTCAGGGAAAGGAATTTTGCTCCCCAGAGAGGATGTGCATGGTCGCATGTCCTAGTCACATGTGCCAGAGTTCCAGGAAGTAGTGTGAGATCTAGTAGCCTGTCCCTAGTTAAAATGGCCACTGTCAGAAGACTGGGAAAGAAAAGAAATAAGGAATGCAAAAAATAAAAAGTTGCCAATTATCTAGAAGTATCTGTTTGTAGATTGTCAGTTTACTGTGCCACTAAAATGGTGCAAGAAGCTTTACTTGCCCCCATTTTCTGACATTCTAACTACAGTAATCCTAGAAAACGTCTTCTCTTTTGATTACTAAACATTTCTAAAGGTGTCTTTGCTGTTATTTTGAAGATATGGGTAAAGTTCCTCTTTGATCTCCACCTCCATTTCAAGTCTCTGGCTCTGTAACAATACTCCACTACTACTCTGACGTCCAAGGCTGCTTTCAACAGTCCTCAAAAATATATTTGGGGAGTCACAAATCCACTTCTTAAAACATGTCTGACCTGTGTCTGGACTCAGACTCCCTAAACACATCACTCCAGCACAAAAAAACGTGACGCAGACGGGAGTAGAATTTCATTTTAACTTTCATTCGCAATTCTAAAAAATCGTTCATCAGAACATTCGATCTTGCCATCTTTGAGTCCACCTATTTAGTTAGAAAGCTAAGCTGTTAAAATTTCAGCCCTGATATTTGAATGGAATCTCAGGTGCATTAAATAGGTTTATTTTGTCCATCAACAGTTCAATACAAATAGTATGTGCCACACTAATATTACAATCAATAAATATATTGTGAAACACTAAAATTTGCATAAAGTAATAATAAAAGTGCAAAAATATAATCACATGAAAGTCTTGTTGACTAAAGTGCTGTGTGCAGGGTCAATATAATTCCACCCCCCCAGGGGACAACTTTTCACCTTACAGGATGGACCTTGAAGTTAATTTCCACTTTTGTAAGTGATTCGCACTTATTGTGGTGATATATATGTATAAAGTATATGTGTGCACATTTTCAAGACTCACATTGCGTGTTCTCTTTATTTTTCTTATTATATATTATGCCTGAATCCTTCAAATTCAAAATTTTCTCCACAGGAAATTCAGTCTGACACCAGGGTCGGATTGTAATCAGACTGTAAACAGCTCCCCCCTCCCTGTCATCCATTGTAACATGATCACTAAACACCAACTCTGCCTTTACACACAAACAAGACTCACATTGCGTGTTCTCTTTATTTTTCTTATTATATATTATGCCTGAATCCTTCAAATTCAAAATTTTCTCCACAGGAAATTCAGTCTGACACCAGGGTCGGATTGTAATCAGACTGTAAACAGCTCCCCCCTCCCTGTCATCCATTATAACATGATCACTAAACACCAACTCTGCCTTTACACACAATACACTGTCCAGAGCTTCATGTACACTTCATGTACATTGCTGGCATATGTTTTTTAAAAATACCTCTGCAAAGGTGGAAAGGGGCTTTAAAGTGACACTAAACTCAGGTTTTAAACCTTAAAAATACATTGAAGTATCCTAACAGTTAACAAAAATTTATCTTATTTGTGTATCACTCAGCTGTAGATCTTCAAATCATCTCTGAATGATGGACTACAATCTCAATACAAATTAATAAATGAAACAAGAGATTGTAGTCCATCACGGGGGTAAGCTTGGAGAGGTGACTACTGTACAACACAAACAGGGACTTCATCAGGATCTGGGTGTATGTGACGTGCCTCTCGATTTCTGATGAACATTGTTCAGTTGTAGCTAGCAGCTACACATAGGTTTACCTAGGGTGGTTGTAAGTTTAGAGTGTGGGACTTGTTTTTATTATATTTCTTTTCTATGTTTCTTTTTTGCCTAGCACAAGTATATTATGATTTATGCACATATGTATGATTTTTCCCGAATGATAATCACATTCACAGTTAGAATTTTGTTCGTTCAGATAAGAAATTAGAAAGATTTCTACCCTGAACCTTCAAATTTTCTTTTCCAAACAGTTGAAAATGAGTCCACCTATTTAGTTAGAAAGCTAAGCTGTTAAAATTTCAGCCCTGATATTTGAATGGAATCTCAGGTGCATTAAATAGGTTTATTTTGTCCATCAACAGTTCAATACAAATAGTATGTGCCACACTAATATTACAATCAATAAATATATTGTGAAACACTAAAATTTGCATAAAGTAATAATAAAAGTGCAAAAATATAATCACATGAAAGTCTTGTTGACTAAAGTGCTGTGTGCAGGGTCAATATAATTCCACCCCCCCAGGGGACAACTTTTCACCTTACAGGATGGACCTTGAAGTTAATTTCCACTTTTGTAAGTGATTCGCACTTATTGTGGTGATATATATGTATAAAGTATATGTGTGCACATTTTCAAGACTCACATTGCGTGTTCTCTTTATTTTTCTTATTATATATTATGCCTGAATCCTTCAAATTCAAAATTTTCTCCACAGGAAATTCAGTCTGACACCAGGGTCGGATTGTAATCAGACTGTAAACAGCTCCCCCCTCCCTGTCATCCATTATAACATGATCACTAAACACCAACTCTGCCTTTACACACAATACACTGTCCAGCA